CCTCCCTGGGGGGTGATTTCTCGCTTTCTGTCTTTCTGTCTCTCTGTTTTTCTGGTGAGCACATGCACCCTATAGCAAAAACCTCTCAAACAAACAAACAAACAAAAAAGATGTTTCTGAACTAATCAGAAGGCTTCAAAGAGCTCTAGAGGTTCTAATTTGTATGGCGAACCTATTCCTTCGTTTCCTGGATTTCGTCGACAGACTAACTTGAAAGGTATGAAAGAGTTCTGGTTCCTAAGAATTTTCAAGAGGAAAATCACCCCAGGAGTAAGGTCTTCAGAAAGCCACCCGTAGGCCACAATGTCAGCTGAGCCGAAGCATTTTCATAAACACCTGAATAGAAAGAAACTATTGCTATTTGAGTGGAAGGCATTTCAGAACAAAGACTGCCTATTGTCAAGATGGGGCAGATCCTTCCTCCATTTTGCCTCCGCAAAAAATTAAATGGCTACCTTGATATTTGTTCCATGAGTTTCAGTTTTGGAGTTCTTACGAAAAACAAAGCAAGAGGCTTCCCAGAAGTTTCTTTGCTCCAACAGACCTCTCTCTGTGGAATTTCTTGGGTTGGCCCTGAATCTGTGTCTAATTTCTCACCACCCATGATGGCGATGCCCTAAACTTACTGTGATGCCCTTCTGAGGCAGTTTCAGGGTGATGATGGATCAAAGGCACTAACCCCATGGACCCCAAACGCTTCATGTGAGACTAGCGGAAACACTCAGGAGCCTAAGCCACCCTCTCCCTGAGGGGGAAGCTTACCTCAGTAAGGCTCAACTTACGAGGGTGTCAGGCCTGACTCAGAGAGAGCGACAAAGACAAGTCTGCCCCTCCTCAGCCCTTCATCCGCTTAGTTCTCCTCACCCCTTCAATGCCACCTCCTCAGGGAAGCTTTTCCTGGCCACCCATGATGAAGTGGCTCTCCACTCCGTGACACATCACGCTTGCCTTTTACGTTATCCTTTTATTTGCCTTCTTAGCACTTGTCTCTTTTAGTTATTTGCTAACATACCCATCTGTGCCCACTCCCGCACCCAATCATCCCCGTCCCACCATACTAGATGTAGGTCTGTGAGACGCAGGCTCTGGTCTGTCTTGTTCATTCTATTTCCGGCCTCTGGACTATGCCTGGTGTATCAGTACACGTGTTGAGTGTTTAATTACCAAAGAAGCTGTTATGAAAAGCATTTCTGTTGTTAGAATGAACCAGGCGGCACCAGGAACTCAAAGGTGAGTACGGCATAGGACTAGAGAGAAAGGTGCAAAATCTTCTTCCAGAGCCTTTTCACATATTAACCAGCGCAGAGGCTCTGAGTGATGGCCTGGCTACCAGTCCCATCAATGGGCGTCCATGGACGTGGCTGAGGTAGACCAACATCACTCTAGGTAGTGTCATGGCATGCAATCTCGGTATTCCTACAAAGTTAAAGCTTGAAAAAACATGTCCTATTCTCCTGAGGGGGGGTGGGAATGAGTTGAGAATTTTATACTATAAATCATTCAGGCAGAAAACCACACGTTTGCCCATTCCATTTTCGGAAGAACAAAGCAGTTGTTTGCACATTCTTCCTGTCACACCTGCTCTGGCCTGCCCAGTGTAAACACCATAGCCAAAAATGGAAATAGGTTAGGCATGGTCTTTGCCACAATGAGAAGGGTAAGTGCCATGCTCTACAATCGGTAGGAAACACTTCCGGCCAATCTAAGAAATCCAGTAATCATTGTCAGTGGGTACGTTTAGAAAAGCGCTATGCCTTGTAAACACTGCCGTGAAAAATGAGGGCAAATCATGAAGACGAAAGACAACAAAGTAATAAATAATCATTATTCTTCCATTCACTGGTCTATTTATTAGAATGACAATGGTACAATATACTTTCCAACAGTCTTATTTGGCTTTCTTGAATCGTGTTTAAAATTCTTCTAGACAAGACCAAGAGCAGCAGAAATGAATAATGTCACCAAAAAAAAAAAAAAAGAAAATGGAATCTACAAGATGACGCAACCATGCTTGAGTTCAAAACAAAAGGATCGACATTTTTATGAGGAAGAAACACACTGTTGAATCTACCGGGGCTTTCATTCTTATGGTAAAACAATTGCATTGCATCCATCTAATCTTGTAATTAAGATTCAAATGGGTTCAAAATGATTCATTTGTACCGGCCTATCAAAATAGAAGGCATTGTAGTTGTAATCTTTCTGAATAGCAATAGTGTTTTAATTACAAATGCCTGCCTCATTGTTTGCTCAAGAGCGAATGACAATTAGCTTGATCCCTCCTGCAACTATTGTTACTGCTACTAACATAAATAGGCAATCCGGAATCAGATGCCTGACGTTTCCCTTCAGTTTACAATCTTCTGATTGCGTCTATATTCAAATATATTAAGTCATTTTAAGTCCACAAGCAGGAAGGAAAATGGCTCCCAAACAGCCAAAAAAAAAAAAAAAAAAAAAAATTGCAGGAAGGGTATTTCATGGCAAGCCCAGAGAACGGAATCACTATGAGATGAATCATGTTCTAATATAATTGAGCCAAAGAAAGAGTCCAAGCAACATATTTTAGTTGGCCTCAAAACAACACCACCACCACAACAACCACCCTTTAACTCATAAGAGGTCTGCTTTTACAGACAGTGCTATGGAATACTGGACAGACTGCTAGAATAAAGCAACTATTTACACAGATGGTTCTGAACCTCAATGCTCCTCACACCAAACAAACCATGGGCATGGGGGGGGGGGTTCAGGTTTGGCAGCATCTTCCTCCTGAGGCACCTACAAAGGCTCAATGTGCATTTCTCATTGGGGGGGCAGGCTTGGGTTTGGGTCGGTCTCTACCAAGGCTCTGAGGTTACCAATGGAAGGACTGGGGAACACGGGGGCATAGGCATTTTCTGATTCTCAGAATACCTTTTGTTTCGGTGGCGTTGGTGAACTCGTGATAATGAAACTGCACCTCGGTGCACAAACCTTGACCTGTCTTTGGGGGCATCTCACAAAGAAAACCTTAATTTTGAAACTAGTAGGCACAAAGGAGGAAGAAAAAAACCTGTCACGGTGCATGCTGTCTATGTTTAGAAGTAGGGCTTACTCTTGAAGACCGCATGAAAAAAAAAAAATACCTAAAATCAGTTCAGGTTCTATAGAAGAGGAAAAACAACTGTAACATTTTCATTAAACAGGTTCCCTTTTTCCAGACCTTCTTCAGCATATCTGGTATTGCATTTTTAAATACGATGTGGTTACCAAGGAAACAGGTTCTGGCCCAATATTCATTTGAAACTAAAATATATTTCAAAAGATAATCTCATAGGAAAGGGCTCATGAAATGGTTTTTGAGAAATGCCAGTATTTGGTACTTACACACCCATAGCTGGATGGTCTGCAGTGAACCATCCTAGGGGCTCAGTTTCATTTAGTGAAGCTCTATTTCTTCTAGCAGGGGTCTCTAGGTTGAATATTTCCCCCTTTTAAAACTGTAACACCTCATCTCCTCACATTATATATAGAGGCACACAAATAGTGTATGGATTCTTGTATATTATCTCAAATTCATTTTGGAAACACATAAGTTATTATTTTCACCTTTCATATAATACGTTTAAAGTCCGCTTCTTTAAATTTAAATATTTTTAGTGTTTCTTATTAAGCTTCTTTGCGCTCTTTGAAATTATCTCCAGAAATCTTTTTATTTTTAGTTTCAAGCTAAAATAGAGCTGAATCATCAGACTTTTCAAAAAATTCTTTTGTTGTCTAATGGCGCCACACCTATCATATATATATGATTTTTTTTTTTTAAAAAAAGGAATCATTCCACTGTTGTAGCAGCATCATTTATTGTTTATAAAAGCTATATACTTATACAGTATCAGGACAGGAAAGACTATCCAATCTAATCCCTTCCCTCACAAAGATTCCTCCTGCCTTATTCCATTTTTATTTTAACATTTATATTCTAATAAATCTAATGTTTTTGCTGTATGGCCCATAAAATCCATAAAACATGCAAATTTCAACCTACCTGTATGTATCACTTAATGCAGTGCTAGCATGACAAGATACAGCCATTTTTAGGTAAAGCGATGGAGACCACTGATTTCTCCGTCTTCTTGCTCACAAGTTTTAGATGCAATTGTCACACACACAGAAAATCATACGCAGAACAGCTTGCATGGACTGTGATCACGAGAACCGAATTTATCAACAGAAAAACAGGATTGAAAAAAAGAAGTTTCTCATCCAAGGGTTCTCTGAGACTGCAACCAAGGAGGTGGTGTGTTGCATTTTTTTTTCCCCTTCCTCCTCTGAGAGTTCAAAGCTCAGAACTGACCACTGCAAAGGCCACTGTCACAAGTGCTGAAAATCAAACCACCGATACCAGCCCTGAAACACGAATTTGAGACCCCACGTTGCTTGCATAGGATGAAGTGCATAAGAGTTAAAAATAGATGCCACTTTGCCTCCTACCTGCATAATAAACATGTAAGTTTCAAGTGTTTAATTTGATATTCACATTAATTAACAATACAACATACATTATTTAAAAGACAGCAAATGCAAGAAGAAAGAGGAGACACCATCTGGTAGCAGAGTTTTGCTGTTGTTTTTGTTGTTAGCGTTTCGTGGGTTTCCTTTTTTTTTTTTTTTTTTTGGCTTTGTTAAAAAAAAAAAAAAAGAGGGTAAAATCGCATTTTGAATGTGATGAAAAGCAAATATCCAGAAGCAAATGAATCGGAAAGGAAAGGTGATGCTGAAATATCGAAGGCTGCAATGAGGCAAAAACAAGTCTTCGCTACCAGATGACATGGCACACCGGGCATTTACATACTCACATCGGAAATACTAGGCAACGTGTAATGAATTCTACACACAGCATGCACACGCAGCACAGGCACGGCTAATCCTGCCTGCCATCTTAGGCTCGCAGAAGCACGGTACGCACTGCATGCAGCTCGCACGAGCACTGGGGAAGGAGGAGGCAAGGGACGGCTCACCTTAAATGCAGTATCTGATTAATGTTGTAAGTGACATTGCATATCAGCCTCAGAGTCTTGGTTCAACTGGGTAGGAGGGAACAAAGAAAAATGTCATCAACTGGTGATGCAAGATGAGCCCAATCACTAAACACTGTTTAGCAAACTCCGAATTCTGCAACCAGGCAGTAGAAGGCATGTCGTACATTGAAGCAGAGCTGCTGCACAGTGAATGTGTCTTCTGCTCCTGAGAACCAAACAATCCTTGTGCTAAGGAAGAAAATAAGCTGGAATGAATACTGGCATGTCCTCTTCTTGGAGAAAGCTTTCAATACAGTATGTATCTGGTCTGGGATGCATTTTATGGATGGTTAATTTCATAGATTTGCTAACAGAAAACCATGAAGAAAAAAAAAAAGAAAAAAGAAAATTGTTAAGCTATTGCAAAGAAAAGCATAGTTCTGAGAAAAGGGGATGGCATTTCTAGATGATTTTTCAGGCTCCTGAAGGGTGCCGGCAGGCTGGAAGGCGAAGGCGAATGCACCGATCAGCTGTCTGTATGTGCACTGTAACCTTTAACCACAGCAGTGTAACGTATCCCGCTAAACGTATCAGCAGTGCAGAACGGCAGATACTGCTCAGACGGAATTTTCTTCCATGCGAGTGTATTTTCTTAAATTGAGCAGCAGAATAAAATCAGTACAGAAAAATAAATGGATGCTGTGTTCGTCTGGATATATAGCTGACAGTCATGAGTGAGAAAAGCTACCTTGGGATACTGACCTAAATAATGCCAAGACGTACTGCGGTGCATTGTACTTGTTCAGAGCATAGAAAATGCAAGATGATTTTTTTCTCTCCCTCCCCCTCCCAAAGGCTAATTTTTACAGGAACGAGTCATCAATAGCAATACCAAGAAGCGATAGATAGCACGCGTAGCACGCCCTGGGAGAGGAGGGATTCGGGTGTGCAGACATGGCATGTTTCTTTGTTTTACTTTGAGGCTTATTTTAGCTACGCTTGCACGGTGACATTGCCATCAGGAGGTCAGGGCTGACACTGGGTTGCTATCTGCTTTACGAGTGAAATGTTTTCTGAAAATGACATCGCATCTACTCCAACTCCAAATTTCATGTCTTCTTCAGTACAACTTCCCTCCCCCCCATCGCCCAAGATGGATGGGATCCAGTTTGGCTGTATATAATAAACTGGAGTCACCTTGTGTAGACACTCCGATACATAATTATGAGAGATTCATTTTTGAAATAAAAAAGCTTTATGAATTCTTGTGCATCCCCTTTTACTCCTTCCTATAAACACACACACACACACACACACACAAAAACACGTATACACACACAGACACGCACATACACACACACACACGCATACACACACACGCACACACACAACTGGAGCTCAAATTGCAATGAAATGTTTAACATGTGGAACAAAAACCGTAGAAAGAGCTGCTTATTCAGGATTTTAAAGAAATGCTTAATAAGCAAATACTGTTTTGCTACAAAACCAGTGTCACCATGTCCCCAAAGAGGAAAATAGCATAGCTTGCTAGAACATTTTTCTTCAGATCCTGCCGGCAGGTTAAAAAAAAAAAAAAAAAAAAACAGCAATCCATTTACCATGATGTGTAAAATGAGAAGTGTTTTATTTTGACTAGATTCTTTTCTCGTCTATTTCTTTAGCTACGGAGAAATTATACCCACCCCCACGCTTAGACCCTGGACATGAGCCAACATTTCTATAAAATGCTATGAGACTGATTTTTGAATATGGAATATCTATACTTTTCTTTTCCTTATCTTTCCAAATGTCTTTAATTGCCTATTGCATCATTGAATATGCTAATTAATTTGAAGACATGCAAAAAGGAATTAATATTTTCCGGGGTTGCTAGCTCTCCAATGCCTCTAACAGAATTCTATAAGGACTGACTGAAAATAATCAGGTTAGCAAAACGTTCAGGTTCCCCAGAAATTTTTTTAAAAGGAGACCATATTATTCGAACAGCTTCACTTAGGTACTAGGTTTCACAACCGGATCTTTTGTCTCTAGCTCTCAATGCCATCTCTCTCCCCAGAACGGAGGTGATTTTTAGCTTAAGGTGTGGAAAGTACCCTCTCCACCTTTCTCCTGTACACGTGAAAGTCTCTGAGTTGGGCTGTCTGGATGGTGGGTCATACCTGAGCCACAGCGCGTCCTCTTCTCTGAGAAGCACACCTCTCTCCCACAACTATCCAGAAATAAATGTGGGTCTAACGAAAACAGAAGCTCCTGGGCTGACACCAATGGTGAAGCCATCTTCCCCACCCCCACGTCACTGCTCTACGAGCTCTGGCTAGCAGTGACAGCGACAGAAAATGAGAATGGAGTATCCTTGGGCCTCTTCCTTCTGTACCATGGGGGTCGAGAATCAGAGGGTCTCTCATGCCAAGTGACAAAGCACTGATTTAACGGACGGTCACCCATAAAGCGGGGTCCTGAGAGTGAGGTCGGAGGACGATGACGTGAACACCTAGGCATTTGCCGTTCTTGGTGTCTGAGAAATTCCCCATTAATGACGCCTGTGAGTAAGCTAGACATTCCTGTTAAAATACTCACAAATTAGTATTACGAGGGCTAAGTATACGCTACGTGGACTCAACTCTGGTCACATAGAACTAAGTCACTGCCTTTTCTGTCTAGAGTAATAAATGACAGTGACAATGACGGTAATCCATATCAGGCTCCCAGGAGACAAGTGAACAGAGCTATGTCCCCTTTATAGGGAAGAGTGGCAAAAGTGGTCAGGTCCCCTACTAGTACTTAAAAGCCAGATGCCAGTGCAAGTGGCTTCCAAGCCTCCCTTGTGGGGTTCTCTGTCCAAATGCGCCTAAAAGCTATGCGTTGGTTTATCTCGTGGTCCAAAACTGTCAATGAGCGAACAGGATACATTTACCGAACCTGCTTGGTCCAGCAAATGTGTACTCCAGTTGAAAATACTCAGAGGGATAAGCTTGTTTAGGCAGACATTCGCAACTAGTAAATCCTGTTTTGGACAAAAACAAAACAAAACAAAACAAAAAAACCCACGCTCGTGCCTGAATTACTTAAGCTTTGTCATGATTACAAGTGGCAAGGGTGCGCCCGCACTGAGGACTTTTTGAAAATTGCGTGCTCCTCTTCAACCTCCACAGGGCATATGCACAAACAATCATTTAAAAGACAAATCCCTTCTCCACAGTGGAAATTTTAGCCTGTTCCTGCCACTCTGACGAGTCAAGCACGAGAAAACCGACACTCTGGCAAGAGCAGGTGGGCGAAGAACGGGGCTAGCAGCAAGGTTCTCACTTGCTCACGGTCTTCTTCTGCAGCCTGAGCTCATTTTATTTTCAGTCCTGTGGGTTAAAGTTAAATTGCATGGCTTATGCAAAGTACATAATTCAAGTATGAACAAAGCTTGATGCTCAGTATTTAAAAAAAAAAAATAAAGTCAGGGCACCGAGTCCCAGAGGAACCCTGGGTTTATAAATATTTGCATCAGTTTGCACATCGCTTTACGCCATTCACTGCATTCAACATTACAGCTGGTTTCCTATGGCATCTCGGGAGAGAGTCAACCTTTGTGGGTAGGTCTGTTGTCAGGTTAGACTATTTGAATCAAAAATGTTCAAATGACATGTTTACCAAATAGAGCACTGTTGTTTACATTCTTAGAATTCAAAAAGTTTAACGTTGTTTATAAGGTTTGTTATTACATCCGTCTATAGTGTGTTCAGCCCCGGAAAAAACCTGGTGACTTAATTTACCGATGACTAAAAGTGTCTTTGGATAATATCGTAACCGAAATTTTCTGAAAAGTCCGATGCTAATTTAAACATCTACATTTTGCCCAAGAGATCTGGGCAGGAACTTCTGCTTTCTGTGTGGACCAGAGCTAAGACTGTAATGGCCACCACCGATGTAGAACCTACCACACACTCAATATTTCAGCCATGTCACATTATTTCATTGTAACCCAATCGTCTTGCAAGATGGATACTGATTACCTTCCATTTTAGGGAAGGAATTGAAATAGCAGGGTTAAGATTCAAACTGAAGTCCAGTTGATTGCAAAGGCTGAGTCTTTCTACTAATCGTAAGAGGATAAAACCTCCTCTGACATCCACACTCCACTCCTGATGCCAGCAGTCTTCGAGCTGTGCAGACACCTGATAGAGGGGACCCCAGCTCCCTGGATCCCTGACTCCTGCTTCTGTAAACCAGCCTGGACTCTTCAGGCCCTGGGAACAATGGGTCGCTAAGACGCCACCAACTGGAGACATGGCGGGCCCAGCAGGCAGAAAAGACAAAAGAAGGTTGTCCTCCCCCTTTTAAACCAAGCCACGTTGGGAAATTAAGGGTAGAAAGCAGGGTACCAACTTTGGTGGGAGGTCTACTGGAACACGGAACTGTTTCCTGCCACCAAACAATTAGAAAACGTTTACGCTTTCAGCTGATTTCACCTAGTGAAATCTGGTTTTTCCAGATTACACTTCAGAAAACGGAGACCGAGAGAGAGCTGGTGATTTGCCAACCCCCCCCCCCAAAAAAAAAAAAAATACCACATTGAATAAGTGAGTTTATCCACTCTGGGTACATGTGTGTGCCCGAGATCCTAACAAGCTGGAGAGCTGGGGGAAGGGGACCGAGGTAGGACCAGACTCTGCAGAAGATGCTCCCCCCGGCCCTCTCTCACTCGTTCTCCCTCCTCCCTTCCCTCCCTTTCCCCCTCTCTCCCTTCTCACACACACATACTTTCTATCATGACTAAAATAAACTTAAAAAAAAGTGAGTTTACCCAGTCACTGTATTAAAACTTACTGCTGGTTTCCTTTTACACTGCATATATTCAGCATTTGTGAATAGATTATCGGGTCATTAGACTTCTAATATAAATTATTAATGAAAGAAAAACCAGTATAACAACCAGGACTGATCTGGTTTCAACTCACAGACATGAGGGTACTTCAGTTTGTAGAAAAATGTCATTAAAATACAAAAAGTTATTCATCTGTAGGGCTTTTTTTTAGTGGAATGCTTTTCGGGAA